CCACGCACCCCGTCCCCAGGGCCGGGGAAGAGGGGCGGGGTCAGAGCTGCGCACCCCATCCACAGGGCAGGGTCGGAGCCACGCACCCCGTCCCCAGTGCCAGGGAAGAGGGGCAATGAGGTGGGAGTCTTGACTCCTGTTTGATTTTACTGCTGAGGCTATAGACAGAGCAGACTGAGGGCTGCCTGGATGGGAGGCTGGGAAATGCCAAGGCCACATTTTTTAAATTCACACACACACGGTGACGGGTCTGCGGCATCAAGAGGTGCAATCCCTGAGCAATGGCATTGGGCTGGGGAAAGCCCCTAGGCTAGGCACGATTATTCTGGTAAAAGTGCGCGTTTGCCAGTAGAGCCTATTTCACAGGGAGGAGCTGGAGTAAGACACAAGTTGAGGACTTCAATAGCTCAGACATAGGTCAGGGCCAGGGGTTTGTTACAGGAGTGGGTGGGTGAGATTCTGTGGCCTGCGTTGTGCAGGAGGTCAGACTAGAAGATCATAATGGTCCCTTCTGACCTTAAAGTCTATGAGTCTAAGCTCTACTGGCAAGAGTGCAGTGTGGCTGGTATAAACTGTGTCCATGCTAGGAGCACCACTGCAAGAACTGTACTGGCAAAGTGCACCTAGTGTAGACGTGGCCTCAGCCTCATCTTTCTAGTCACCGCTCTTCGTCTGCACTAAATGGCAGGGCTCCCAGGGGCACTATCAGCCCTTCTCAGATACTCCCAGCTTGCACTGCAGGGCTGAGCCCTCAGGGCAGCGGGATGCAGTGCGCAGAACCAGCTACAGGAAATAGAGAGCTGAGGCATCAGCCGGACAGGGAGAGCAGCACATGTTTGGGTGAGCAATGGCTGCCATCCCTAGTCAGCACCAACGCTAAATAGTTAGAAGGGATGGGACAGAGGAGGCGGAAGGGTCTAGTGGACGCTGACCACTGCCTCCCTTTACCCCAGCCGTGGTATGGGACAGGACCCACAAGTTAATCAATGGCTGGTCATTTTTTAAATTAACGTTTTAATTTCTTTCTTCAGCACCACAGAAAGAGAGGAATGAGCAGGCTGGGTTGGGCCTGAGGTCTGTGTAGCCTACTCTCCTGTCTCTGACCATAGCCAGCCCAGGAGCTTCAGAGAACACTGGAAAAAGCCCACTGCAGGCTCATGTGGGATAGTGTGCCCTCCATGAAGGTCTCAGCCTGCTCCCTATCTGTCAGAGATTGGCTTAAGCCCCAAAGCAGGGTTTTGTCTCCCTTCCAAAAACCCTTTTACACATTAACTGCAATACCTGTGCATATTACTGATAGCCATAGAAATGTCCAACCCCTCTTTGAATCTTCCTGTATTCTTGGCCGCAATGTCATCCAGTGCCCGTGAGTTCCACAGTCTAATTACAGTATCCCAAAGTCATGCTGAATTTGGTGATTGTCACCTCTAGGGGACACTGTTACTTGACCGCAGGAGGGTTAACCTCTCCAAAGCACAGTTAGCTGAAGTGGGAGCAGTATCTCCAGTTCTGCACATGCCCTGGGGACAACTCGCTGACATTTATTTTAAATGGGGTGACTTGTAGAAAAGTCCCTTCTCCAAACAATAGGGAAATTCAGTGCCCCAAAGACAAACTGCATCCGTCTTGCTTGGTACTTAAAGTACTTACATGGGGAACAAATATTTAATAATGGTGTCTTCAGTGTAGCAGAGAAAGGTCTAACACAATCCAATGGCTGGAAGCTGAAGCTATACAAATTTAGACTGGAAATAAGGTGTAAATTTTTACTGGTGAGAGTAATTAACCATTGGAACAATTTACCAAGGGTTGTGATGGATTCTCCGTAACTGACAATGTTTAAATCAAAATGGGATGTTTTTCTAAAAGCTTTGTTCTAGGAATTATTGTGGGGCAGGTCTCTGCCCTGTGCTGTACAGGTCAGACTAGATGATCACAATGGTCCCCTCTCATGTAACTCCAAGGAGGTTGGTGCAGTGGCACTTGGGAAGAATTGAGCTGTTGTGTCTGCAAAGAATCAAACTGGGGATGGTCAGTGCTATAATTTTAGTCCTATTAAATGACACAAGGCTAAGGAACCGCAGCAATTTCAGCCACAAGTTACTGGGCTTGATGCAGGAATCACCGGTGAAATTCCATGGCCTGTGTTACCTATTATTTCATAGAACCGTAGGGTTAGAAGGGACCACAAGGGTCACCTAGTCTAACCCCCTGCCACAATGCAGGATTTGTATTACAATAGCAATCTGGGACGGTGGCCCTACTGTGCTAGTGCTTTACACACAGAAGGCAAGCAGTAGCCATGGAACAGGGGATTATGCAGCAGGAAGCCACTCTGGGCCAAACAATTGTGGAAGAAAGAAAAGGAGACAGTGTTTCCCTCCTCAGGCAATCGGCCGAGGGAGTCATGGCTGCAGGGGCAGAGTGACATATGGAGCTGAACTGAAAGAGGTGCTGGATAATAGTTTTATGCCTAATAACACTGGCAACTAGATACTAAGGGCTGGTCTGCACTGAGAACTTAATCAGCACAGCTACATCTCTCAGGGGCGTGGAAACCTAACCCCTGTCAATCTAGCTACCATCTCTCAGGGAGATGGATTATTACGCTGATGGGAGAGCCCCTTCCGTAGGCACTACTTATACTGACACTGGAGCGCTGCAGCTGTGCCGCTGGGGCGGTTCACGTGCAGACATACCTAAGACAAAAGAATGAGCCTCATGCTTCAAGATACCAGCTGATCCCTACAAGGGCCAGGAAAGATTTCCCCCCCCCCCCCCCCATGTCAGGCTAAGCTATTTACCTGTGCACGACTGTACCATGAGCCAGGTGCATCATGATTTTTTTGCCTCTTTTTGAGGCATCAGGTATTGGCCATTGTCCCTGAAATAAGCAGGCAGAAGAGCCCAGTGGACCAGTAGTCTGATCTTGTGTGGCAAATTCTATGGATCGGATCCCCAACCAGTGTATCTCCATTCACTTCAATGGGACTATGCTGATCTACGCCAGCTGAGGAGCTGGCCCCATGTCCCATGACAGACAGTTCCCTCCCTTTGCTCCTGACAGTGCTGGTTCTGCAGGGGCAGGAGGGGCTGTTGGTTACCTACCTTTGCTGTTGATCATGACCTTGTAGAGGTCAGATGGAGGGCCCAGGCTGGTGCAGTGATAGACCGACACTTCCAGGCCATACTCCTTGTTGAACTCCAGGTTAGGGATGCGGGCAGAGTGCACAAACATGGAGGTTATATTCATCTCACGGACAAGCACTTTTGCTGAGTCCAAGAGACGTACAACGAACCCATTTGCTGGCTCGTAGTTATTTGGCAAGTTCCAATTAACATGAAGCGTGTTCTTCCCCTCTACGGACCAGCCTTCGATCACAGGCTTGGCTGTGGGTTCTGTTAGAGACACAAGGTGGATGAGATAATATCTTTACTGGACCAACGCCTGTGAAAACCAGACAGCAAATTCACTGTGGGCCAGTCCTCTCTCTCCTCCCGAAGGAATGCACAGAGCCTCATGCTGCCAATCTAGGCTCCAGGGCCTGGCAGAACCCTACACCTGTATCAAGCCCTGATGCTGAGGAGGGTGAGAACGCCCCAATAAATTCAGACTAGACTCAGCATGGGCCCAGACTCTCAGATCAGTTGGAACAGAGTTGATTAAATCAGAGAAATTCCAATAAAACTGGGATTGGGCTAGGATGAACTGGACTGGACAGGATTAAATCTCATTGGATTGATTCAGAGCAGGGTGAATTAGGTGAGATTCATGGAACAAATGGCTTGTTGTGAATTAAACCACATGTGTGCAGAGCCCAGGACAACAGGGCCTGATCCCTGATTGGAAGCTCCAGACACTGGTGCAGTATAAATCAATAACCAATAGATGAATCCACCCAGCTCTACTCCTGGCGGCTCTCGGGGAGCGCAGGGCCAGGCACACCCACTCTGTAATATTTTTATTCGGGGGATTCCTTTCCTGTCTGTCCCCTGTCCTGCCAGGCACTCACCTTGACACTCTGTCACCATGACCGCCTGCGGTCCCATGGCACCTTCCCCTTTGTCACCAGGGCGACTCAGCTGCACCTGGACCAGGTAGGCCGTGACTGGCCGTAGGTTCATGAGTGTGATGTTTTCACTGTTGTCAACTGTTGATTACAGAGGATCCTGTTAAACCGAAGCCATGTGACCAGCAGCCTTGTTCCATGCTGCGACACAGCTTCCTCCCAAAGCCCATCGCAGGCTGAGCACTGGCAGTAGGATGTCCCCGGCTGGCCTGTTGCCTCTTCCCTCCCGAAAGCTCCCTGGGCCCAGCTGTTAGCAATATGCAACATGGACCTGCTGGATCCCAGCATCTCAGCCCTAGCCCATTGCCGCCGGCTACTCAGCCTGCCCCCTTTTGCTTCTAGGATTTCCCCTGGTGCTACGAGAACGCTCTGTTTGGCGAAGCTAGTACTTGGAGTGCCCGACGCCCAGTGTCTTGGGGCTGGAGCTCAGAACAGAATCTGGGTCAGCACCAGCCCTGCAACTAGAACGAGAAGCTCTTCACAGAGCAGCACACTGGATTCTGGTCATGGTGCTGCCAGGCCTACCAATCAGGCAGCCATGCCCCACCCTGTGCCCAGGAAAGCCCTGATTGCACTCTCGGCCTTGCACAGATCGAACACGCTCCCTGCAGCATCACACGCTCTGCTTTCTCCTAAAGGCCCCTGCAGAGATTCCCTGCGATGTGGCAGCCAGGGCAAGGCAGAATGGGATTAGCTGGAGACAGGGGAGGGGACCTCATGGGAGTGCTGAGGAAAACGGCAAGGGGAGAACTGGCTGAGTGAAGCCCTCACCTGCCCTATCCTTCCCTGGCTAGGGTTGGAGTTTCTGGACCATGGGTTCTTGGCCCGTGTCCAGCCAGGCACGTCTGAGCCACTGCTGCCATCATGATGTGGCATCACCTGTCAATCTCTACGCAGCAACGGATTCTGCTGGTTTTCACTCAGCCTGGGAGGGTCTCCATAGGCTCTACTGACATGCTAGCTCAGAAGCAGCAGCAGCTGGCTCAGGCCTCCCTGGGGTAGGAGTTTCCTTGTTGTAAAATCAATCGTGGCCAAATTTGAACATGACACCAAAATCGGAGCAGTAGCAAATACAGGGAGGAAAGCATCGTGGCAGAGAGACACGAGGGATCAGTCCTGCAGGCAGCGGGGCAAGAGGCAGAGCGGTTGCCCCATGACTTTGATCCTGCCCTAAATGTCCCTTGCAAGCTGATTTCCTTACCCACAATGGATGACCAAGGCGAGGTGTTGTCCTTGGGCTTGTAGAGCAGTTTGATGGAGGTGACTGGGCCGTCACCAGAGAATCCATCCACTGGGGAAACCACAAGCTGCCGACTCTGCTTGGCCAGCAGCCGGGGAGGCCTCAGTGGCACTGGAGGGACTGTAGGCAAAGAACAGAACCAACATCAATAAACCCAACACAACCCTGAAGGAAGAAGGAACAAAGCAATGTTTAACATGGACACTTGGCCACACTGACCTGCTGGTCAGCCCTAGCACATCACCCATGCTAGTCTCATACTACCCCTTTCCTTCGTAGTCTAGGGGGAACCCCATGATCCCAGAGTCTCTGCCGTCAGTACCATGATAGGACATGCCCTCATCCCACTGATGCAGAGGCTAACACAGATTCCTGCACTCAGGCAGTGCCAGCTAGGGGCATGTGCAGAATCTGCTCCACCTGGAGAAGGGGAGCTTAAAAAGGCAACAATGCTACTGCGAGTGGTGGTGGGGAGATTGCCCAGGAGGAGAGGCTGCTGGGGACTGCCAGTGAGCTCCAGTAGCCAGGGGAGCCTGGCCGGGGGACTGGCTGTCCTTTCCTCCCACCCCGCCCTTGTCTGGGGGCAGACTGACACTTGACATGGGCCAGGGGCCCTGGAAGGCAGCTCCCCACTATAACCAGTGGTGAGGCCTGGGCAATGTTGCGAGGGACTAGAGGGAATTGGACTCACAAGGGACCGCAGGAGTGAACTGAACTGCCAGGAGCAATGAGATTGCCCGAGTGGCTGACGTTCCCAGAGGGGACCCAGGGGCAAGAGAGGGAAAGATTCTATGGCCAAGACCAGGCTGAGGGTTGGCCAGCTACAAGCAAACCATGCTGGTTCCTGTAACCATGACAATGCCAATTGCTCCCCAGAAGTAGAGGGCAGCCCTGGACCTCCCCTGTGCTGAGCTCAGGCCCAGGGAGCCTGCCTTGGCCTACGGGGAGATGGATGTCTTCGGCAGTGGAGACTCCACCTCTCTCTAGTTCAGGGGTTCTCAAACTGGGGGTCGGGACCCCTCAGGGGGACACGGGGTTATTACAGGGGGGTTGCGAGCTGTCAGCCTCCACCCTAAACCCTGCTTTGTCCCCAGCATTTATAATGGTGTTAAATATATAAAAAAGTGTTTTTAATTTATAAGGGGGGGTTGCACTAGGAGGTTTGCTATGTGAAAGGGGTCACCAGTACAAAAGTTTGAGAACCACTGCTCTAGTTGCTGTTGTAAGCAGAGTCTGAATGAGCTCCCCTGACATCTAGTGGTGAGCTGTGGAAAAGGACTTCAGGAGTTGATCTCATTTGCATGGGCCCACCCACCCTGCCTAGGTGCTCAGCATGATGGACTGCTTGCCCAAATGGTCACTTGTGGCAGGCGCTGGATCCCTAGTCTCCTTGTTATTGGGGCAGGAGTAATAAAGGGTTGTTATCCTTGTGTGAACTGAGGGCAGCAGAACTGTACCTGGCATACCACAATGGAGGGACTCACCCTCAACTGAATAGCACTCACTAGGCAGGGGACATGGGTTCCAAACACCAATGAGTAGAGGGAGGTGGGGTATGGGCACCTAGACACCATTTAAGCTTGGTGCTCCCAACTCTATACTAAAATAACTAATTTAGACTCAATTAAGAGTCTTGCTACATGCTGTAGAGCTATAATCACTGATACTTAAGTCTAAGTATTAGATTTACTTTTGGACAGTGTTTCTGGTACAAGAGACTGCCTAGTGTGTACAAGCAGTGAGGGTCCCCCCCAAGGAGAGCTGAAATCACTGAGAGCTGTGTTAAGTGGTGGGCCCAGAAGACATCTTGGTGAGTGGCTGGTGGAGAGGTGTGGCCAGCAGGGTGGCTGGCAGAGGGGCGCAGCTGGTGGGGCAGTGAGCAACTGCCCAAGCAGCAGAGTGTGTAAGGTGCCTCCTTACCCCCCTTCCACCCACGGTGGGAGGTGAATTCTACAGATGAACCTCTGGATTCTGGGGCTGCACTGACCAAGGACAGTGAGTGGGGTGCAGTGAAGGGATGGGCACGTTAAAGGGACTTTTTGGTTGCTGGACTTAAGACCCCGAGGGGAAAAGGACACTGCCCAACTTACTTGGGGGTGGGTCTTTTGCTCAGGGTTTATATTTATGAACCTACTTGTGGTGTTTTCCCAAATTAATGCTGAGTTACTCCCCAACTTTTATTAAACATTTTTGCTGCACTCAGACTCTGTGCTTGCGAGTGGGGAAGTATAGCCTCTTAGAGGCGCCCAGGGGGTGGTGTGTAATTGTCCCAGGTCACTGGGTGGGGGCTCGAGCTGGTTTTGCATTGTATTGTTGAAAAGGAATCTCTAGATATTGAACCCGGCCCTTGTTGCTGCCAACTCGGACTGGCAGAAGGGTCACACTCTCCAACATCCCAGCTGTTCTCTCCCCTGCGCCGCTCACCTTTGACATCGACATTGACTCTCCTGCTGTCCTGTCCCCCGCTGGTGGAAACTCTGCACTCCCAGAGGCCCGTGTCCGCCTCGGTGAGCATTGGCACCAGGAACTCAGAGGTGGTTTTGTCTGTTTCCATGATGGCTTTAATCGACTGGGTGGGAGAGAGAAGCTGCAGTTACCCCTCCTAGGGCCACAGGCACCAAGCACAGCCAGATGGGTAGAACAGAGATGGCTGGGGTGGGGCAGATGGCTGCTGCTCAGGATCCAGGCCCGAGCAGGCTCACGTTCAGGTCTGCAGCCATGGCGCACTAGATGGGGCCACACGGGCCTATGGATTTGGGGTAAATACCAGCTTGGAGACTGAGGTACCTGGGGGCAGCTGGACCTAGTCACACAGAGCCCTGACAGGGTGGAGGGGTGCACAGAGAGAGGGGCAGGGGAGGCACAGAGAGCCTCTCCTGGGCGGAGTGGGGAGAGGCTACAAGGAGACCCGGCGGAATGGGACTGGGGTGGGGAAGCACAGGGAGCCCCGGCGGGATGGGACTGGGGGGTGGGGGGCAGCACAGGGAGCCCCAGTGGGATGGGACTGGGGGATGGGGAAGCACAGGGAGCCCTGGCGGGGCAGGACCGGGGGGCACAGGGAGCCCCGGTGGGATGGGACTGTGGGGGGCAGCACAGGGAGCCCTGGTGGGGCAGGACCGGGGGGGCACAGGGAGCCCTGGTGGGGCAGCACAGGGAGCCCCCTGGAGGGACGGGACTGGGGGGTGCAGCACAGGGAGCCTCGGCAGGACGGGATTGCGGGGCAGCACAGGGAGTCCCCTGGAAGGACGGGACTGGGGGGGGGCACAGGGAGCCCTGGGAAGATGGGGGAGGCACAGGGAGCCCTGATGGGGCAGGAGGGGGGGGCGGGTACCGTGAGCACTGTCCCGTCAGCCTTGCGCAGCTCGATGCTGTCTCGCACTGGGGGCGGGTTGCCCGTGGCCATACAGCTGATCACAGGCTGGGAACCCAGGTTAAACTCCAGCTCTGCGGCCAAGTTGATGATCTGGGGACTCCGATCTGGGATGGCAAATAGCAGTGCTGAGCAGGCAAGCCCCAGTCCCCCTGAGCTCACCACTCTCCCTGCCCCTGAGCCAGAGGCTGCTGCAGGGCGTCTGGGAGGCCCAGGGCTTGGTCCAAGCTGAGGGTTCTGCGTTGAGGTCCTCAAGGCAGCTCCGCAGAGCCACCCGCCCCCTTCCCAGTTTTAGATGCCCTGAAGAAGTGACTGCCCTGGTCTCTAGGGGAAAGTCCCAGCAAGGACGGCTGGTGGATCTGCCCCCCTTCTCCACTGACACCATTTCATTGCTCCTCTCCCAGGTCTCTTCCCTTGCTGGCAGCAGGAGGAGCCAGCATCTCGTGCCCAGGCAGCTCTCCACACCCCAAGCCAGTGCCCACGGGCCATGGTCTGAGCACCTCGGCTGGGCAGTGATGTCCCCTGATGGAGCTGGCCTGCCCAAGCACTGGCATCTGATGGGCCTGCTCACAGTGCTGCAGCACTTTGCTCTCCCACCCAGTGCCAGGGTCCCAACCAGCCGCTCTTCGGCGGCTTTCCAGCCGGCGGCAGTGCCCTGGCACTGCCAGCCAGGTAGGGGCTGCGTTAGCCTGTCTCTAAGCAGCACTTTGCGGCATTGGGCAGGGAGCAGTTCCTGAGGTTTCGAGCACCCCCAGCGTTACAATGGTCAGTACGTGGGCGGTGCGCAGACACTGCGGGGCTGGGTGAACCTGCCTGGCAGAGCCGCGCCCCAGGCGGATCATAGGTATTGCACTGAGGGCAGCTGTACCTGATTTCTCGCAGCGCTCCCCATGACACCCTGATGGGCAAACACAGCCACTGAAGCGGTTGCAGGTGCCTCCATTTTGGCAGTGACACTCCAGGGCACAGTCTGCGCCGTAGCGTCCAAGAGGGCAGGCTGGAGGGAGGAGCCAAGAATTCACTGGTGAGCAGCAACCACAGAATCAGACCCCCAAGGCACTAATACTGTGTCAGAGCCAGTTCTCACAGGCCCTTCAGTCCAAGTGGTGATGTGTGGCACCCTGCCCCATTCTCTTCCAGCCCAGCTGTGTCCCCAGGGATCCGTTGTGGGGCTGGCCAGGGACATGGGGGAGGAGAGGAGACAGGGAAGCAGCAGAGAAGGTTCGTTTGCTTCTTTCTGCTGCAGTCTGAGCTGTGGAAGTTCCTGTTCCCAAGGCACTTTGCGTGGCTGATGGGCTGGGGCTGCAAAACTGGAGACATGAGCTGTACTCAGCGTCCTCGAGTAAGCGCCATTGTATCCGGAATGCTGCACAGGCAGCAGGGGACCCAGCAAGAGACAAAAACCACAGCAAAACAAAAGAGCCAAATGTGTGGGTGGGGGTTGGGGGCTGCCTTGGCCCCAGGGGGTATCTCCCTTTTGAAATAGAAAGGTCAGGCCCACTCTGCCTAGGAAGAACCCCGTCTGAGGGTGGTGCCTCTGTCGGGGAGGGGAGAGGAAAGCAGGCAGGCCAAGCTACTGTACCTGTGCTGCACTGTAAGCCACTCCATCCAGAAGCGCAGGAACAGCCGTATGGATCTGGCAGGCAGAAGCTTAGCCCCTTGCAGCCCTGGTCATTGTTGCACTGTTCCTGGCAGTTACGGCCAAACCTCCCTTCCCTACAGGCTTCAAAACAAGACAATTCTCCTCGCTACTCTGCTGCAGCCAGCACCGGTCCATTCACTGTCCTCCATTTCCACATGGCCTGACCCTGCCACCACCACAGCCAGGACAAGCTACGCAGCCAGCACAGAGATGCACTAACAGTTAATGAACTTACCAAAACCAGCAGGGAACCAGGGAGGCCCCGTGCCAGAACACGGCTGAAAACAAAAGTCTGTTGAGTTCCACAAGGCAGAGCAGAGATGCTGGCCATTACTGGTGGGGGAATCCAGCCTCAGTCCCGTGTAAAATATAATGGTATAAGCAGTAAGAGCAAAATGTGTGTATTAGCGGGAGATAGAGAAACACCACTCACAGGGACAGGATAGGCAGAAATAATTGCTAAGGAGACCTTAGCGACAGCCAGGGGCAGCTTTGACAGCATCAGAGACAAGGCTAAGCCAAATGGACCCAGATAAGAAACAGCCCCAGCTACTGCACAGAGCAAACTTTCTACTCCAGTTCCATTTTGCAGCATAAAACTCCAAGATGGAGCAGCGTAAGTCAGAGCTGAGGATTTCTGCCATCTTGCTGGCACAAGAGATCTCAACTCAGGGGACAATGAACAGATGATCTTTGGGTAGAGCCAGATACTACGAGAACCTAGTCTGCTGTGCCCAGGCCAGGCGTCACAGATTATAGGGCCAGAAGGGACCATTGTGATCAGCTTGTCTGACCTTCTGCACAGCATAGGCCAGAGACCTGCCCTGAATTAATTCCTGTTCACACTAGAGGATAATGCTCAGAAAAACATCCCAGCTTGATTAAAAATTTGGAGCAATGGAGAATCCACCAAAACCCTCGTAATTGTTCTCCTCACTATTTAAAAATTTGCACCTGGTTTCCAGTCTAAACCTGTCCAGCTTTAAGTTCTAGCCAATGGATCTTGTTATACTTTTGTTAGCTATATTGATGAGCCCCCATTATCCAATTTCTCTGACTTGTGTAGGTACATATTGACTGATCAAGTCATGCCCTTCTCTTTGTTAAACTAAATAGATTGAGCTCCTTGATTCTCTCACTGTATAGTACATTTTCTGACCCTTCAGTCATTTTCATGGCTCTTCTCTGAACCTTCTCCAGTTTATCAACATCCTTTTAGCAGTATGGACACCAGAACTGGACACAGTATCCAGTAACAGCTTCCCTAATGCTGTATACAGGAGGTAAAAATCACCTCCCTACTTGACAATCTGTTGTTAATGCATTCAAGGATACATCCACCATCTTAGCTACAGCATAGAATATCAGGGTTGGAAGGGACCTCAGTAGGTCATCTAGTCCCACCCCCTGGTCAAAGCAGGACCAATTCCCAACTAAATCATCCCAGCCAGGGCTTCGTCAAGCCTGACCTTAAAAACCCCTAAGGAAGGAGATTCCACCACCTCCCTAGGTAACCCATTCCAGCATTGCAACAGGAGCTCACGGTGACCACTCATGGTGATCTGCACCCTCCCCCGTGGGTCTATGGTGATTGTGCACCTGCAAGGTGAAGAGACGACGAGGTCACTATATTCTGGGTGCACCATGGAATGGAGCCTGAGCTCTGTGACTCTCCCTCTTCGTGGAGTCCCAGAGCCCGGGCTCCAGCCCGAGCCCAAACGTCTACACCACAGTTAAACAGCCCTTTAGCCCAAGCTCTGCAAGCCTGAGTCAGCTGACACAGGCCAGCTGTGGGTTTTAATTGCAGTGTAGACATACCCTCAGTGTTCAGACTGTATTTTATTCTAAACCCTTCCAATCTCACCAGTACAGTGCAACATCACAGTATTCAATCCCTACATCTTTCTGCCTCTCTTTACTAGGGCCTAGGAGGAAAGGCGATCGCCCTCTCTAGGGAGCCGAGCCAGGCCAGGCTCAGATCAGCCACTCCAGTCCCCCCCTTGTAACACTTCCTTCCTGGCTTTTATCAGGTTAGCCAGCTGAGGACTAATTAGTTCCTTACCTCCCCATCCTCTCCTTCTGATTAGCTCATTGTTCAGTCAGCTGTCTCTGGGAAAACTAATTGAGGCTACAGTGATCAGAGTGCTGACCCACCTGTCAGGTCTCAGCACTCTGTCACACACCTTGGCATGAGCTCCCAGTGTGATGCAAAAAGGGCCAATGTGATTCTGGGATATAGTGAGCAGGGTGGGGGTTTTACCTCTGTCATTGGTGATACTGCTACTGGAATACTGCGCCCAGTTCTGACATCCACATTTTTAAAAGGATGTTGAAACATTGGAGAGCGTGCAGAGAAGAGCCACAAATATGAATTGAGGGCTGGAGAACATGCCTTACCATTGAGACTTACAGAGTTCAGTCTGTTCAGTTTACCAGAAAGAAGACTTGATTACAGTGTGTAAGTCTGTTCATGAGGAGAAAATACCAGGTACTTCAGGGCTCTCTTATTCAGCAGAGAAGGACAGAACAAGAACCAGTGGCTGGAAGGTGAAACCAGACAAATTCAAATTAGAAATAAGGCCAAAAATTAGCCATCAAGGTGATTTACCACTGGAACCAGCTCCCAAGGGAAGTGGTAGATTTCCATCTCCTGCTGTCTTCAGATCCAGTCCGGCTGCCTTTCTGGAATTGCTGCTTTACCACAGTGGTCTCCAAATTTTTTGATCGTGCACCCCTATCAGTAAACAATTTTTGAGCATGCACTCCCTGCCGCACCGCAGGGCCGGCTCTACCATTTTTGCCGCCCCCGGCCAAAAAAAAAAAACCCCCCGCCTTGCCGAACGGGGGAGGGGGAGAAGGGCGCTCGGACTCCCGCCTGAACTGCCGAAGCGGCACTGCTCCGGCGGCACTCCTCCTGCCGTGCACCCTGAAGGATCCTCTTGCGCACCCCCTGGGGTGCGTGCACCCCACTTTGGAGACCACTGCTTTACCAGACACAGGTTGCTGGGTTCAAAACACGGGGAACTGGGTGAAATTCTCTGGCCTGTGATAGACCGGAGATAAAACTAGCTGATTTAATGGTCCCTTATGGCCATAAAGTCTATGAGTCTATGAACCCAGACCCTCAGTCGGAGGAATCTTTAAAGGCATCTTTACAAAAGGACAGTTCCTCTGTCCCAGGATCTAAGCCCCAGCTTCAGCACGAGGGATCCGAGATGACACGCTGCCTCCCACACCCAGCACTAGCAGAGCCTCTTGCAGGAGAAGGTTCTCTCAGATCCCTGAAGGCTTCACGGTCCTTAGCTGAGTGCCACTCCTGGGGGCAGGTAAGGCAGTTCCCTGCCTCTCTGGAAGAAATGGGGAGCAGCTCCTGCCCCCATCCTGCTAGAGGGACCCAGCCTCCCATGCAGGCCACGGCGACTCACAAACAACAGACATTTGACAAATCTGTCAAACCCCCAAAAACCGCAAACAGCCCCTATTGTCTAGGGGAGGCTGAGCCACAGACCTCCTCGAGCCCATCCCCGTGTCACAGACTGAGGTCAGCCCCAGCCCTGCATCACTGTTCCTGTCACACAAGGAGGCCCAGCTCCAGCCTGGCTTGTTCCTATCCCTGCATCCGCATCCCCATCCCCCAAGGAGCCCCAGGTCCAGCACAGCCCATCCCCATCCCTGCATCACCATCCATGCATCACCATCCATGCCGCACAACAAGGCCCAGCGCCAGCTCCAGCTCATCCCCATCATGGTCTGTCCCCATCCCTGAGTCACTGTCCCTGCCACACGGCAGAGAAAGGGGAGAGGAAGGCTCTGTGCCTACTGCAGCTGGAAAATGGGAGACGGGGACTCAGGGTCAGTGGAGGGAGTGGGGTGTTTATTCCCTTGGCCTATGGAGTGTGGAGGTACCTATGCCCCACGACTGCTTAATCCTGCTCCAGAATGCACCTCCCCCCACAGGGGCTGGGTGTGTGGAGTCCATACCTTTCTCACAGCGCGTGCCCATGAAACCTGGGGGGCAGATGCACTCCCCAACACTGTCGTGGCAGATGCCTCCATTCAGGCAGTCAGGACAGTCCTTCTCACAAGAGGGGCCCCACTTCTTCGCTGGACACCCTGGGAGAAAGCAGGGGGGTTTAGGGCAGTGCCACATGTACCTGTGGGAGCACCGGCTGCATGCTCAGTCTGAACTGAAGCCCGATGGACTCCTAACCTCAGGAAATGCGAGTGCAGAGCCTGCCCGCTAGGCAGGGCCAGGGCAACGGGATCCAGTATTCTGATAGCAGGAAATGCCAGAGGGGCCCGTCTTCCCAGCACACAGACCTCAGCCCCATGGCACACACGTGTTCTGCCCCCCCAGTTAACATGGCTCTGCATGAATGCCTCACTGGCACCCCAAAGGGCAAAGCTGAGCCGCTGCTCTCTCCCACCAAGCCCCGCTGCTCCCTGTTCTCTGGCACCACCCCCCTCTGTGTCACTCAGGCCTGGAACCTGGCATCACCTTCAATTCCTCCCTCCCTTGCACCCATGCGTTCACCATGCTGCTTCCCTCTCCAGAACGTTTCTTAGATTCTACCTTTGTTTTCTATCCACACAGCTAAGCTGCCCTCCAGGCCCTCCTCGCCTCCAGTCCTGACCACGGCACGTGCCTCCCCATGGAGGCATGGCTGGGGGAGAGCACGGCAAGAGCACTGCTGTATCCCAGCCATTTCTGGCTGCCAGAGGCGCCTCACAGGGCCCAACACAGCCTAGCGTAACTTAGAGCAGCATTCTGTACAGGCCCTAGCGCCAGAGGGCGGCAAACGCGGCGCACAGCTGAGCTCAGACAAAGCCAGAACAGGGCCCATGTCTGTTTGTCTGACCCCAAATCCAAAACCCTCGTTTCTCTTGGGCCAGGTCCCAGCCTAGACTGAGCCCTCACACCCACCAGCCTCTTCTCCAGTGGGTCTGTTGTATGTCTGGAGCCTAGGCTCTGGCCCCACATGGCATTCCTGCCCTGTTCCCTACCCCAGCCAGGCTCCAGACCCAGCCCTGAGGTCCCACAGCAATCTTACCTCTCACAATCAGCCTGTAAAAGGCACTTGTCAGGGGACTGTCCCCAATGAATGCGGCACTGTACACCCCATTCTCACTCAGACCCACATCCGGTAGGGTTAAGGTGAACAGCGTCCCATTCACTTCACCCCGGTCCGTTGTCTGGTAGTAGGTACCTGAATTAATGAACGAGGGAAAATGGCATCAGGTCCTGAAGTTACCCAACACTGGAGCTGGCCTGAGTCAAACCCTGCCCCTGTTAGTCCCTCTAGGGAAAGCCAACCATGTGCAGCTGGGCAACACCGAGGGGCTCTGCCCTCTTCAGCTTGATGACCCAGACACGTCTCTAGGATGTGGGTGAGCATCAGGTCTCTCCTGGACTGTTCCTGAAAGGCCAGGCCAGCAAAGTGAGTGCAAGGGCATGAGCCAATCCCTGGTGGCCAGTCCCGTGGCCGTCTGTGGGGGATAGGGATAGGGGTCAGACAAACATGCAGCCTGACTCCTCTCCCTGGTTACTGAGGCGCTCCCTCCAGGGTAGGTCTGAGCCCCCAAGGCAGCACTGTCTGGAGGGACCGCATCAGATGGAGGCAGTGTCTCTCAGGGTCCGTCTGCACTGCAGCAGGGTGCATGCTCCCCAGCATGGATAGACAGGCACAAACTAGCTCTGTTCACAGGACTAGCAGAGGCAGGGGCTCAGGCTAGCCGCCCACGTACGTAGCCCAGGGGACTGGGTGGGTTTGTCCTCAGGCAGCCAGCCTGAGCTGCCAGCCAGGCCACTCCAGCGCGGCTCCCCTGCTGGTTTTAGGGCGCTAGCGTGAGCAGAGCTAGTGCGTCTATCTCCCCACACTGGCAGGCATTGCAGTGTAAACATACCTAGGAGAAGGGGGTCTAGAGACACTGCAGAGCGAGTGTCTGGAGCCCATGGCACAGTCTGGACCAGAAACTGCCAAGGCTCATCCTGCTCAACGCGACTGCCTTGAGTACTTCCAGAGCAGTCGGGGGGGAGGGGCACCTGCCCCAGCCTCATTTGCATCTGGAGCGGGGTGGGGGGGCTCACTTGCCACTTGTCCTGAGCTCATGCAATGTAGGGTTCAGTCATGTGTGGAGGAGGGTCTCACTCCGACCCCGTGGGGAGGGGTTTGGGGAGATGGTCTCACTGGGATCATGTGCCCTGGCTGTGTGCACACCTTGGAACCTGGTCCAGAGCTCTCTGGGGTCCCTGGCCCTACGTATCCACAACAGTCTGGTTGTTTCACTTGGGTTGCCTGCCCCAGCCTGGCAAAGGGGGCGGATCACTGGGGTCTCCTGCTGTGGGAGGGACTCTATCCTGGGAAGCAGTGACTCTCTGGGGGTCATGGTGGATAATCAGCTGACCATGAGCTTCCAGTGTGAGGCTGTGGCCAAGAGGGCTAGTGCATAAACAGGGGAATCTCGAGTAGGAGCAGAGAGGTTATTTTAACCTTTGTATTTGGTTCTGGTGCAACTGCTGTTGGAATCCTGTGTCCAGTTCTGGTGCCCACAATTCAGGGAGGATGTTGATAAATTGGGGAGGGTTCAGAGAAAAGCCACGAGAATGATTAAAGGATTAGAAAACCTGCCTCCTAGTGCTAGATTCAAGGAGCTCCATCTACTCAACTCATCAAAGAGAAGGTTAAGGGGTGACTTGATCATGGTCAATAAGAACCTGCATGCAGTAGGAGAGCTCCAGCGGCCAAACGTCTAACACGAGCCAATGGTTGGAAGCTGAAGCTAGACAAATTCAGACTGGTGATAAGGCACAAATTAACAAACAACTGGAACAATTTACGAAGGGCTGTGGTGGATTTTCCATCACTGGCAAGTTTTAAGTCATGGTTGGATGTTTTTCTGAAAGGTCTGCTCTGGTTCAGGCTGGAATTAATTCAGGGAAGCTTCATGGCCTGTGTTATACGGGAGGTCAGATTAGCTGATCACAGGGGTCCCTTCTGCCTTTATTAGCTATTAATCTCTTGGGGGCATGGCTCCCTGGGGGTCTCCTGCTGGGGTGTGAGACTGCTCCCTAGGGTTGCCTTCCCCAGCCAGGGGAAGCCGCTCACTGGATCACTTGCCATTTCTTTTCCACAAGACATCTGTGTTCTTCTTGTGAAGGACTTTGGCAGAGAAGGTGGCCGAGTCCGCAATGCTCACAGTCTGGGTGACTTTCAGTGGGACCAGGTGGGCTACAGAGAAACAGAGAAAGAAGGGTAAAGCTTAGGAGGGTGTTTGAGTGTCCACAATGACCCCTCTTTCCCAAGAGGGGACAGCTGCTGTGGAGGAACTGCCAACCCCTGGGACATCATTCGGACCAAAAACAAGAAAAAGTTAACATGGCCTTCTATGGCACAGTCTCATTGCTGATGTCACTGAGAGCAGGGCAGAGCCAGGCCAAGCAGCACTCTGATATCCTGGGCACTGGGATGTAGAGATGGGAGCTCCTCACACCCTGTGCTCCATACGTGCTGGAACTATGGGTACGGGGGGCGCTGCCGCATGCCCCGGATTGAAGTGGTTTCCATCATATCCAGGGTTTACAGTTTGGTTCCACTGCTCTCTAGACACATTGTTCCAGCCCCCTGCTGTGCTCCAGGCCATTCTGAAATCCAAAGTACAATGAAGTTACCTGCTAGACAGGATTTCTGCAGAGTGGCCGGGAGCCACCTCTGTCCCTGGCTGTATCATAGGCTGTGGGCTCCTTGCCAGTGCTGAGGAGGGAGCTGCATTGCTCCTGCTTGGGGCCTCTAGTCGACATTTTCATGCAGGGGCACAGGGAGTCTGGACCCCGGGATCTCTATGAGCAAGCAATGACTGCGTGGCCTGACAACCGGAAGAGCAGAGAACCCCAGAGAGGCCCACGCATGAGAGAGACAGGGGTCAAACACTGTCAGTGATGGTCTCTGCCCTGTCTGAGCCCTTCTAGGTCCAGCCTGCCATGTGGCAGGAGGTGCAAGGCAAGGAGGGGAGCAGGAGACATGGCAGGACACACAGACACAGAGCCTCTGTCTGTCTGGATTCCCCAGTGTCCACAAGCCTAGCACAAAGGAGGGGGAATTGCCCTCTCGTACTAACCAGTACAAAGCGAGACACAACCCAGGCAGGTGGGGGCAGCAAGACAGGAAGGTCACTCGGGAATGAACATTAACAGACGAGCTGTACCTGCTCTGCTGATTTTCCCTCTGCTGATACTCACACCTTCTTGTCAACTGTTGGAAATGGGCCACCTTGATTGCATTGGCCTCATTAGCACTACAAAAGTAATTTTCCCTCCCTTGGTATTCGTCCCTTCTTGTCAACTGTTGAGAACAGGCCACTTCCACCTTAATTGAATTGGCTCGTTAGCACTGACCCCCCACTTGGTAAGGCAACGCCCATCTTTTCATGTGCTATAATATATATTCTGCTTACTGTTTTTTTCACTCCATACACCTGATGAAGTGGGTTTTAGCCCACAAAAGCTTATGCCCAAATAAATTTGTTAGTCTCTAAGATGCCACAAGGACTCCTAGTTGTTTTTGCTGATACAGACTAACACGGCTACCACTCAGAGCTGTACCTGGACACCTTGCGGTAATCACTGGCACCACCAGAGACCGCTTTGCTGGCCACAATGATTAGGCATTAAGAAGGCTTTGGAGTGAGGCACTGTTGTATGGCTGGGAGTGATGGCAGGTTTGCAGTTGCATAGTATGGGCTGGAGAGGGGAGCAGGACGGTTCACAGGGCATATGTGGAAGTATGAATGTAGCCCGGCCGTGTTTATGCTGGGGCACCCACTCGCTCCAAAAGGGCCATAAGCCCGTCGCTCTTCAACCTCCTGGAGCTTTCCTTTGTTAAGAGAGCAGAAGGGAAGTGCCCCTCCCAGACTGTTCCTACAGTTTCTTTTCCCATCTCCCCCAGCTGCTGTTAGTGGCCTGGTCCACAGCCTTAGTCCAGGAGAGCCCCTGGGGAGGCAACCAGCCTGGCCACCCACTTCCCCCAGTCTGATCTGCTGCAATGAGATTGCGGGCTCAGACTCACCCACATCTCTGCACGTGTGCACAA